TATTCTTTTCTATTTAAAATGTGGCTGGAGTGAAGTCTAAGATTACTGATTGGAGTCAACATTTTCTCTCAACTTTGTCACTATTAAAACTTCCAAATATAGTTGAGCTTGCCTCTATAGGTTTTATTTCACTATCATTTTTTTCTTCTAAGTTTAAAATGATTCATTTTAAGGTCAGGTTGTACTAACTCTGTTAAAATATTACAATTGCTGAGAATTTGAAAAATGTTATACTCAATATCCTTTTTCAAAAATATACTGAAAGTTTGTAACTAAATTTGATTAAAAGAATAGCACTTTGCCAATAAATGATTAACTCTCACATACTTTGCTTCATAATTTTGTAATGTTACTCTTTAACCTCTCCATCAATCAGTGGTTAAATTGACTATCGTGTCAGAAGATCAAATGAGATATTAGTGAACCAAATACCTATTCCTGACCAATTAATGTTATATTCTTCTCACATGATAGTCTCAGTTGGCTGCTTTGTTTTTTGTACTATTCATTCCATGTTAAGGGTATGTGCAATATGCTCTAATGGTCTATGCTATTTCTTTCTTGATTTTTTTTTTTAATGCTTGTAGTGAGCCATCAAATTAATTTTATGGCTCACTACTTGATCACAACCCACAGTATGAAAAACACCTGTTTTAACCAGGGAGTATAGTCTTCTGGAGGTGGCACCAGCTTGCCCAAAGCATATGGCCTTACAGAAGTGGCATAAATGTATGAAACACAGTCAGGCTTCTGTTTGAAAAGAGGAAAAAGGGTTCAAGGCTATAGAGGTAGGATAGGCAATCAAGATTGTCTGCTACAGAGACCGTAGCTTACTCATTTAGCTATCCTAACCATCTGGTATGCTTTGCAGTACTAAATAGACTTGTTTGCCCTTATTCTTATGGCTCCCAACTATTACTGTTCCTTTTTCCAATTTGATTATAGCTTTGTCTTTTTACTGTGATATTTTTTCTTATTGCTATGATTGTGCTTCCTTTACATCATCATCCTATCTCCTACCCTCTCATTTTTAAAAGATCCCTTTTCATTTTGCTGCTCCTCATCTACTTAGACAAAGAAAAGACTATCTAGCTTCTTAAAACCTGTGGCTCAAGAGTAATCAGGTTCACAGTAAGGTCTCACATTTCACTTTATGATCTTTTTCATGATTGTGTTTATTAGATTTTTAAAATTAGATCCAAAATTTTTAGCTGTGGCCTGGATAGTTACCAACTAAGCTATCACTGAAATATAGAAGTACTCCCAGAACAAAAACCTATGCTGTCATTAAATAATAATGTAATCACAATACCTGGGGACTCTGTGATATTGTCTTCCTTATTTCCTTGAGATATTTTGGAAAAGAGAAGTATGCTGACCCCAGAGTTTCATAACTGGGAACTAAAGGATCATTAATTTTAGAATTATGAGTAACATCAGGTGTATTTGCTGTTTTAACTTTGCTTCAGTTACTCAACAAATATTTACTTGCAGATACTTCATTTCATCAATTGTAAGATGAACGTTTTCTCATACTTTAACATGTCTGAAATCAGGATGCAGCTTACAGTTAATGGTGCCCTACAGTTGCTGTTGGCCCTGTGGTAAATCATGATATATTAATAGTTTCTGTGTGACCTTGGTTGTTAATCCTGGAGATGTGACTGAACTGAAAACCCCTCACTGTTTTAGTTAGCAAACCATTGAACAATAAACCATTTAAAGACCTTTCAGTAAGGAAGAGGAGTTTTGTTACTATCCAAAATCTCTTCTGTTGATACCTTCTGTTAAGATTAATACAGGGCTACTATCATCAAAGCTTGTAAGAATGGGCATCTGAAGCTTGAAAGAAAATCCCAGAGACGATATAAGGATTGCCCTTTTAAGAAATGCCACATGAGCAAGGGTCCTGATAACATGAAGATCACACTGTAAAGAAAACCTTCACACCTGTGACTTTGAGTATAAAAGTGATTCAGAAGAGTTAAACACTAAATGTGGAGAAGTTTTAGGAACACCTTAGCCAGTTTAGATTGCTTATATTTTTTTTATTTATACATGTTATTTTTAGAATTTCTAGATGAGTCTGAAGAACTCTTTCAATATTTAAAAATTAAATAACTTTAAGCAATAAGAAAGCATGTGTCATGGTTTCATTGACAGTGTATTTTCTTTCTTAGTGGTATATAAAATAATGGTGCCTCATATAAACAATACTATCTTCAATTTGATGAAACATAAGAGTTTGATTTACTGTCTAACTTATTGAGTATTACTATTCTGCCTCCTGTGTTTTCTTCTCTTAAGAACTAAGGAACAGAATATACATGCAAGAGAAGTTAACACTACAAGGCAATGCATGAATGATAGAGACCAGTATGCCTCAGACTATGGTCTGGCAGCCACATATACCTGGAAACTTGTTAGAATACAAATTCTCAGGCCCCACCCAGACCTACTGAATCAGAAATCTGGATGTGGGGTCCATCAGCCTGTGTTTTAACAAGCCCTACAGGTGATTTTAATAGAAGCTAAAATTTGAGAACCACTGCTCTACGCAGAATTTCAGACAAGGGAAAAATGCTGGTGCTGGTTACATTCAAGTCAGGTGTATGAGTAGCTTAAAGATTAAGAAAACACAGATTCCTTGAGTTTGGCTCAATTACATCTGCTAACAACGTCTTTAAAAGGAATGAAGAAATTTACCATGGTGTGTATTAGCCAACTACCAGGAATACAGGCAGAGTAATGGAATAGTCCAAGAACTGCATCTCCTTCACTTTTGATTGATATTTGATCTTTGTCTTTTCAGCATGATGTATCCCAGACTTTACTCAAGGCAACACTGGACAGTGTTGTAGAAGAATGTGTCAGCTTTGTGGGAGTCGATATTAACATCTGTTCAGAAGTTTTGTTAAGGTGAGTCAAGAAGTCTGTGGCTGAAGATCACAGAATCTTGAGTTTAACTGGCTATCTAACCCAAACTCAGCTAGAACAAGGGGACACATGTGTATAAAGTTGTCAAATATAAAAAAAATCTGTGGGTTTATACACTGCATTAGGTAATCAGTCAGAGGGGAAGACATCATTTAAGAAAAGAATTGTAGCAATTCACATTATCATTTTTAATATTGCAAGTCTAAAGTGAAGAGCATATGGTAACCATTGAGTGCATTAGTGTCGCTAATAGAATTTAAATAAGGCTAACATGGAAAATAGCTGTTTCCCACCACATGAGAGTAGATGTTTTTCACTAGTTCAGTCTCTTGCCTGCATATGTCAAAGCTGGCAGTAACCAAAAATTAAATTCTGAGGGTTCAAGGTATGGTTACCATATTTTTACACTAATTCCACAAGTCACCTGTCAAAATTTCCATCATACTATGATCACATCTTAGATACACTTTTTTCCCCTGTGGTTATAGAAGAGTTGCTTTTTTGTTCATAGCTTTGCATTTATTATACAAGTCTGCTGATATAGCGTGAAATTACCTGATCTGGACATTTTTCACTGTGAAACAGGTATCATGGAAAATATCCCTTACATTTTAAGGTGTTGCTTTTTTACCATAGCTACAAACGTTTCATAATTCCATATATGGAATGTGATAATACAATTGAGATTCTCTGAATTTTTTAATTAACCCCAAGCAAACTACTTAATTATATAGATTTCATAGTTTTATATTAATCATGACATTCAAGGATAAGTATCTTTCTGTAGTTCAACTCCTATAGAACAGGCTGACCAAAAAAAATGGGGGATAGTATAACACAATTGTAGCTATCGTAACTTCTGCTCATTCACTTTGTAAGCTAACCAGAAATAGGCAGAATTATTACTTGATTCAGAAATACAAGGAATTTGAATAGTGTAGAAATACTGTGAGGAACAGTTCTTTTTCTTGCATCAGCATTTACCAGTTTACCAACATCTTTATGATAGCTACTGTTTTGTCATTATTTGTCATTCTGTTGTCCATCTTTCCTCTTGGACAACTCTTTCCTCTTTGTCCTTTTTATTTAATTCCCCTTTGGATTAATTTAGGCATATGACAATATGTGATTACAATTGTTTTTATGATCCAAATGTTTTATATCATTGTCTTTTCAGATGAGATCTTTAATCATTTTGTTTATTTTTTTGTAGGCATATTGCAGGACTTAATACAAACAGGGCCAAAAATATTATTGAATGGAGAGAGCAAAATGGGCCCTTTATCAACCGAGAACAGCTGAAAAAAGTGAAAGGGCTAGGTCCAAAATCCTTCCAACAGTGTGCTGGCTTCATCAGAATCAACCAGGATTATATCCGAACATTTTGCAGGTGATTATTAAAGTGTACACTTTTGGTTCTGTTGTCAACCTCCTCTCTTGTTGTTGTTACCCAGCCTTCTACTGACTGGCATAAATTCTAGGTGTCTGTTATTCAGGGCTTCATTCGATAAGTGCTGAGTGTCTGTTCTTTATGAGGCACTGGGATTATAGCATTGAACAAGTCAGCAAGTTCCCCATTCTTATGGAGTTATATTTTAATGTGTGAAATAGACAATAAACTAGTAAAATAAGTAGTTTCAGATGGTAATAAGTGCTATAAAAATTAAAACAAGGATACATGACACTGTCTTGGGGAGCAGTACAACTTCTTAGGATGAGTTATTTATTGAAGAGTTATTGGAGCAGAGTTTTGAATGAAATGAAGGAGCTAGCCACACAGGGATCTGAAGGAAAGCATTCCAGGCAAAGCAAACACTAAATGAGCTAAGTCCTAAGGCAGTGCCGACTTTGGTGTGTTCAAGAAATGAGGTGAAGGCCGGCACAGTTGGAGCACAGCAAGTGGGAAGAGTGGTATGAGATCAGGTGATGAAGGTGACTTCACAACAACCACTTCGTACTGACATAGCTGTTCCCTAAGCATAGATGGGCTTCCCTACTCCCTCTTCATTGAAAATTGACCAAAGCATTAATTATCAGTACTTTAAAGCTAAATTTTTACTTTCTAATCCTGCATATAGGTCTCTCTGTTCTCCCAGAGAAGGCTAGAAACTTAGGACTCTTCCCCATCTTCCTCTCTTCAATTCTGTCTACCTCCCATGATGAGGTGACTTGAGATTTTAGTTTCAGACTCTTCTTTTTATATGTATTTTTTACATTATTCATGAGCAGTTATTTAACTTAATAAGTTTGTATGATTTCTGTGTTCATCACTGTTTCTTATAGCCCATGCTATCATTTTTCTTGAATTCATTGTTTTTACTGGAGTTTATCCTTAATAAATTCTTTTTAGAGAGGATATATGAGTTATACTAAAGTTCTTAACATGTCTGGAAATGATTTAATTTGCTCCTCTCCTTGAATGCTAGTTTGGCTAGGTATATGATTTTAAATACAAAATCATTTTCTCTCAGAACTTTTAAGACATTGTTATACTGTGTTCTAATATCTGATGTTTGCCAGTGAGAAATCTGATACTAGTCTGATTCCAGATCCCTTTCAAAGTAATGTTTTATTTTTCTCTCTTGAAAGCCTTTTGGGATTTTTAAAATTATTTATTTTCTAAAGTTTCCCCATAATATGTCAAGTATGAGTCTTTTCTGTTTATCCTATTCTACACTCAGTAGGTTCTTTTAATAACTTGTGTTTTTCTTTAGCTCTGAGAAATCTTCTTATTTCATTTCCCTTCGTTTTTCTCTGTTCTCTATTGAATGCCAATTATACAACTGAATCAGTCAAGAATGTTTTTGGCTTTAAGTAACAGAAAACCCTATCAGCAGTGATTTAAACAAGTAGGTAGTAATTTCTATGAAGTGAAAAGTCAGAATCTGGTTGCTGTTTTTAGTATATTTATATGGCAGAGAAATAAGTACATGTTTAATTAAAGACATTTTCCTGCCCAACCTCCCCTTTTTTAAATTTGTTTTTTTTTTTTTTTTCTTGATTATAAATGGCTACAGTAGTCAGCAAACTGAGTCTTCAGGCCAAATTCACGGAGTTGCGACATCTTCAGCAGGTGTTGAGATCACCAATGAGAAGCGGGGCAAAAAGAAGAGCAAAACTACAGTGAATGTTTTACTGAAGCCAAATCCTTTGGACCAAACTTGTATTCATCCAGAATCATACGACATAGCAATGAGGTAAGTCTGCGGCCCATGTGGGAATTCTCCATACCCAGAGTGAGTTCTTTATGGCACATGGCCTTTGTTTTGACATAATGGAAACTGAAAAATATGACCGTGTTTAATGTGACAACATTTTTCAGAAGTTCCGCATTGCTGAGTTATGTGGCACATTATTTTATTTCAGTGAGGAATGAAACCATTATTCCTGGAGCAATGTCAAACTAATAAACCCTGGTACTAATGGTGAAGTGTGTGTAATGGAAATTGCATGGCACTCTCCTCTGTTTGTTTTGGAAATTAACAAGACACAATTGACTAGCACCTGGCATAAAACTTGTGCCTTTCTAAAGATAAAGCTCTTTTGAAAGCAAACAGCCAACTCAGTTTTCCTAAGAAATGTTGTCCTGTTTGATGATTACAGAGCCTAAGAAATGATGTACTTTCAGTGAACACACATTAACACAGAATGATATCAAAGAAGTTTTTGAGTACAAGGGAAGTTTAATGTGAGGCATTAAGAGAAAAAAACTTTTTAATAGCACATTTAATTAGTTTTAAAATTTTTTAATTAGTTCGAAAACAGTGATTTGCTACATAACCAAATTTTCTGAAGGTTCTTACTGAATTTTATGACGGTGGATTAAAAATAGTGAATATGTTAACTTTCATTGAACCTAAAATGAGATTTTTAACTTGTTTTGAAATCATTTATATTTGATTTTCATAAATGTCAGTGGTTTGCTTTCTTTTAAAAATGTTTAAAATTAAAAAGACTGTTGCACATTATAAAGAACTTAGAAAATAGAAAAAAGAAGTAAAAAAAAATACATCAAAACATCAGTTCCTGGTTTTCCCAAAAAATTTTATTATGAAGAAAATTTAAGCATACAGAAAAATTGAAAAAAATTTAGTGAATTCCTATATACCACATCTAGATTTTATTGTTGACATTTTACTATATCTTTTTCTACATACCTGTCTATCTATTTGTCCATCAATCCATCTTATTTTTTTAATGCATTTCAAAGAAGTCTGCAAATGTCAATACACTTTACACTAAATACTCCAGCATGCATATAATTTAACTACAATTTGATCATTCTTTATAGTTTTTTTTTTTTTTACTTTTGAGGTAAAATTCACATATAATTAAATTTTAAATGTACATTAGCTGAATTTTGACAAATATCTATACCTGTGCAACCTAAACCTCCATCAAGATAAAGAACGTTGCTATTATTGAAAAACGTTTCCCTATACCTCTTCTACCAGTCCCCGCCCCAACTTGCCACAGGTAACTGCCTGTTCTAATTTTTTTCTACCGAAGAGTAATTTGCTGCTGCTAGAACTTCATATAAATGATACCATACAGTTGTACTCTTTTGTGTAAGGCCTCTTTCAGTATAATATTTAGAGATTTATCCATGTTATAACAAGTACCAGTAGCTTGTACTTTTTTATTGCTGAGTATATTCCATTGTATGAATATACCACAGTTATCTATTCTGTTAATGGAATCTAAGAGATATAGGAAAAAACAATTTTTCATATTCTCTGCCTTCAATACAACATCGAACACTTCTGTGACCTCTGGTCACCAAAATATTTGGGGATTTCTCCCCAGCAACATAGAATCAGTCACTTCTGTAGCTGATTCCCCAATGGACATCACCTGAATGTCCTTTAATTTAATTCAATTCTGACACTCCTATCAACTGGAGATAACGTCAGATCCCACAGGTTGAGGGACCGGTCCCACAAAACTGTCCCCCTCCCCACTACACCAGATGCCAGTTGTAAGCACAGGTTGTGACCTCTGCTTCTGACAAACCTGCTATAAATCGGGGTTCCCAAGATACCCTCCTTGGTTACATTTGCCAGCTTACAGAAGTTAGGGAAACAGTTTACTTACATTTACCTGTTTATTGTAAAGGATATTACCAAGGATGCAGATGAACAGCCAGTAGGAAAAGATATACTCCCTGGGTATGCTACCCTAGGAACCTCCAAGTGAACCTAGTCCTTGAGTTTTTTGGGAGGCTTTATTACATAAAAACATGATTGATTGCATCATTGGCCATTAGTGATCAACTCAACCTTCAGCCCCACTCTCCTCTCCCATCTGATCACATGGCTGGTTTTTTGGGTGACCAGCCCTTCTCCCGAAGTTGTCTAGGGGCCCCCAGCTTTCAGTCATCTCATTAGCACACAAAAGACACTCATTACTCTGGAGATTACAAGGGTTTTAGGAACTTTTTGGAAGACTAAATTTATGTTTCCCACTATCGCATGAACCTTAGCTATTTCTAGTTTTTGGCTATTCTGAGTAAAACTGCTATGAACATTCTCATACATATTTTTGTTGCCATTGACATTTGTTTGGAAAACTACCTGTGAGAGGAATTGCTGAGTCATAGGGTAGACAAAAATTCTTAGAAACTTTGGTTATACCATTTTATTAATACATTTTACACTTCCAGCTTGACAGTTCTGGTTACTTCACATCTTTGTCATCATTTGATATTAGTCTTTTTGATTTTAGCCATTCTATTGTGTGTAGTAGTATCTCTTCATGGTTTTAATTTGCATTTTCCTGAAAACATTGAGCATTTTCTCGTGTTTATTTAGCCATTTGTATATCTTCCTTTGTGACATATCTGTTCATATCATTTGGTCATTTTCTAATTGAGTTGTTTGCCTTTTTGAGTTTTGGGAGTATTTTATATATTCTGCATATATAAAAATATCCTTTGTCAATATATGTTAATGAATATTTTTTCCCAGTTTGTGGCTTACCTCTTTATTTTTCTTTTTTTTTTTTTTTTGAGACAGAGTCTCACTCTGTTTCCCTGGCTAGAGTGAGTGCCGTGGTGTCAGCCTAGCTCACAGCAACCTCACACTCCTGGACTCAAGCAATCCTGCTGCCTCAGCCTCCCGAGTAGCTGGGACTACAGGCATGCGCCACCATGCCTGGCTAATTTTTTCTCTATATTTTTAGTTGTCCAGTTAATTTCTTTCTATTTTTAGTAGAGATGGGGTCTCACTCTTGCTCAGGCTGGTCTCGAACTCCTGAGCTCAAACAATCCACCCACCTCGGCCTCCCAGAGTGCTAGGATTATAGGCGTGAGCCACCGCACCCGGCCTTACCTCTTTATTTTTTTAGGAACAATTAATGTCTTAATATTTATTGAGTGTTTTGGTCCATGAACTTATTATATCTCTCTGTTTATTTAGGTCATCCTTCGTTTCTCTAAGCAATTTTTTTCAATTTTTAGTGTATACGTCTTATATGTGTTTTATTAAATGTATTATATGTTTTTTTCAATAGTATTGTAAATGGAATTTTAAAAATTTGCTGCTTGTTCTTTGCTAATTTGTAAAAATACAATTGATTTTGTATAATAACCTTGGATCTTGCAAACTCGCTAAATTTACTTACTAGTTCTAGTAGGTGTTTATAGATTCTTTAAGTTTTCCTATATAAGCAATTGTGTCATCAGCAAATATATTAAAGCTTTACTTCTTCTGTTTTAATCTTCGTGCTTTTCATTTCTTTCTCTTTCTCTTTTTTTTCTTTTCCATTACATTGGCCAGGACCTTCAGTACAGCGATGAATAGGAGTGGCAAGAGTAGACATCCTTATTTTGTACTCAACCTTGGGACATGATTCCCATTTTTTTCATGTCAAAAAATATTGTGATCTCATAGTGATTCCATTTTTAGTGTTGTTTGAGAAGATGTGTATGTACACATGGATTCACAGACGTCTTGCAATAACTCTTATGTCTCCATGGGAACGAAATTATTATTTTGTTCTGTGGAACCCAGTATCTTTCTTAATGTACATTTTGGCTGGTTTCCGTAATGTAGTCATAATATGGTTTATAAGTTTTTCAATTCTTTTCAATTTGCTTTCTATTGTTAAGCATAATTTTTAAAATTTTTACATATCCTTCTTGTTAAAAGGCTAGATAATATTTCATCACGTGATTGAACTGTAATTTAGTAATAGTAGAACTAGTAATGGTTCCTTATAATGGATTCCTAGAAGTGGAATTACTCTGGCAAAGGGTTTGAAACTTTTTGTGGTTCTTGACATATGTCACCAAGTAACATACTCATTTATAATGCCATCAAGAGTGTTAAAGCCTGAAAAATACTGAATTTCTCCTGTTAGACGGGACTTTTCTGCCACTTTTCATATGGGCCAGTTTCTGCATGTGAAACATAAATGCCCTCCTAGTGACTTCACCTCTCTGTATGCTTCCTTTGGGAATAGCCTTGTCCCTCACAAGCAAGGTACTTGTAGACTATTTCATAGGAAATTTCTTCTTTATGCAGTTTGACATCTGACCTTTAAAACCTGAAGATAAAATTGGTAATTTAAGTAAGCTTGCCATCTCCATTATCCAGTTTGGAACTGATAGTTATTTCTGTCTTACAAGTACACTTCTTCTAGATATCACTCAACATAGGTAGTTCATATTCTCATATAGTGTCATACGAGTGTCTTCATAGGGAAGAAAAAAAGCCCATTAAGCATGTGATTAGGTCATCATCGGTTTGACGTTAGTTATGTAAAACTAAGTTCCATTGCAGTATATTTCATTTTTTGTTATATCAGAAAACTAGTGGGAAAGTATTGATTAATGGCTTTAATATCACCCTACTATAATATCACCCACAGAAATACACCAAAATACGAAGTGATTCTTTTTACTTTTGAATTCCTGGTACTCTCTTTCTCATATTTGTATTTTGGAAAACTGAGATCATGATGTTTTATAGCCTGAATTAATTATTTAGTGGTTTAGAGTTGGTCAATTTTTTTTTTTTACTATTTTTATTATTTATATTATTTTTTTAAAGTCTTATTTATAAAGGGGTTCTCTATATATTATAGTTCTTTGCTGTATGGGCTGAAATTTTTTTCTAGTTTGTTTACCTTTTATATCTGTTTATAATGTTATGTTTTTGAAATATGAATGTTTAATTTTTATGAAGTAAAACCTGTT